ATAATGCTGAATGAACTCTGCAATTTGGAAAGAATTAAGCCATTGAAAATACGCCCAGGCTTGCTGAACTTCTCCAGAAGACGACAGTTTTATCACTGTTGGTGCAGCTCGGCAACTGACACTGGAGGACAGAAGAAAAGCTTGCTGCCTCCTCCCAGCCCGTCTGCTCATAAACAACCGTTTGTCTGGCAGCCCCCTGCTCCTCTCCCGCCTCGTGTGCCACTCACCGCTGTAACTCCCCGCTTGCAAGAAATCATTATCACAGCTCTTCTCTTCTCACCACTGCAGTGCCTGCCATATGAATCACCCCCTTTATATATCAGCATGATCCAGTCACCTGCCGAGAGAGAAAGAACATGGGCTGCAAACCCAGATCAGGAGGCAAAAGGCAAATGCTGAGTAAGAAAAGTACTGAGTGGAATCTTACTTCCATTGAAGACCTGGGTTTCATTGATTCTTCCTATCACTGTAGTCTTTCCATTCTGTCTATCTGTTTGCACCAGGCCACCAAAATCGCGTGAGGTGCTGTTGACCTCCCTGCACACCCTGAAATGGTAGACGTAGTTTTCCGTTTTGCCTTTCTCTACGGTCACATTAAACCTGCAGCAGGGAGAGGACAGAACAGACAGCTCATAGGATTACAAAGAACAAGGCTCAGAGCAGCGGACACTCGAGGCCTGGAAGCCAGGCACAGCCCATACTAATGGCGGAGCCCATTCTGCAGCCTGGCCCCAAATTTTCCCCTCCTGTTGGGCTAAGGGTAGTTACTGTGCAGCCCTGAGGCCTGCAGTGTCTTCTACTGTACCTCATTTGGCTCAGCGGCTCCAGTTTCTGCAGCAAGGCCTTCTCCATTTGCGACTCGCTGGTCTCATCACCAACCACGTCGCACTTCCTCTCTTGGGGCTGTTCAGCCCCGGCACCGACAGCAAGGGCCACAAAGACCACCAGAACAGCAGAGGTACGGCAAGGCGATGACATCCTGGACACACACAACAGAGAACACAGAGAATTAACTATTTCAGCTCCCTGCCAGCTAACTGCAGGGTCACAGAGTCAACGACTTGGCCACTTCCTCAGTCCGGACTGCGAAAAGGAGAAGGCAAAGTCTAGAAACTTCTCACAGCTCCCAACAGAGACTAAATCTGAATCTCTTGCCTAGTCAGAGACAATTCACTGGGCCAATTGGGGATTCTTGTCCAAATTTTGCCTCAGGATCACAAAAAGCTTTGCTGCTGAGCACATTAATTAGCATTGATTCAGCCAGAGTAGAGGCTGAGTGCTGGAATAAGTTTCAGGCATAAGCCACTGCTTGTTACTGCATTGCACTGCAAGGGCGGCCAGCAGAAAACGATTCACCGGGCCTCTGATCAATCCTCTCTGCAGCTCT